GGATGCGAGATGCGAGAGGACAGGCTATCTTGATTTAGTGTTCGTTGCCTGAGGCAAGCTCTTGCGTAGCTTGGGGATGCTCGCGCAACCGTCTCTCATCTGCCACCTCTCACAGCAGTTCCGGCGCAGGCGTTGCGCCGTCATGCGCATGGATGCGTGATGATGCGTGACAGCTTGAGGTCATCGGCAGAGCCAACAGCCAACAACAGGCAACAGCCGAGCCCAAGAGACAGTCGTAAGTTCCAAAGCCCGCCTCCAACAAAAGCGACATGCCAGTGACAGAGAAAAGCGACAGGACGTGAAGCCTTAAGCCTTGAGGCTTCCTTCGGCCATGGCGCTGCTGGAGAGTCGCAGCGACGAGTCCCTGAAACTGACGGCACACCCGGAAGGCTTCGGCAACCTGCTGAAGCTCACGGAGGGCATCGGCCGCCTAGCTGCGAGAGTAGGCCAAAAAAAGGCCTACAGTGAGCCCTATTAACGGGCAGACAATAAGATGTGATAAAGATGAGGATGTTAAAACGTTTTTGCTTCTAGTTGAGTTTGAGCTCGGTGTTGGGGCCCTGTGTTTTTTTTGTTGAGGCTTTCGGGCCACGATCTTCAACCTCTCCAACACGATCATCGGTGGAGGGATCTTGGGCTTGCCCTTTGCAATGGCCCAGCTCGGGCTGGTGATGGGCAGTCTTCTGCTGATAGCGATGGCCGCATTGGGCATCGTCTCCGCGTGGATGCTTCTGATCGCAATGGAAGAGGTGCGGCAAAAGTCATATGCGGAGGTCGGAAATGTCCTCTTCGGGCGGGCAGCGGCCGTCTGCATTGATTCGACCATTGCTCTGTATAACATCGGAGTTTTGGTGTCTTATGTTATGATTCTGGGGGACATATTGCCAGCTTTCATGCACTTCATTGGTGCTCCTGCCATCCTCCAGCAGCGAACCGTTCTTCTCGTCGCCTGCGGGATTCTCGTACTATGGCCTCTGAGCTCCATGCCCAGCATGGGACACTTGAGGCACGCGTCTCTTGTCTGCCTCTTGATGATCGCGCTCCTCACAGTCTCGCTCGTGGCACTTGGGGAGCGGACTCACGAAATGCAGGCGCCGGAGCAGCTCAGGTATGGTTGTAAAAGCACCATGGGTTTCATGACGCAGCTCCCGGTCCTGATATTTGCTTATACCTGTAACATGAATGTGCCCATCTTTTACAGCGAGCTGCGTGCGCAGAAACATGAGCACATCGACAGCAAGTTCAATACCAAACGGGAGAAGATGATGTGGGCCACATACTGGAGTTTCGGCCTCTGCTTTCTGGCGTATTCCCTCGTTGCGCTCTATGGATATGGAGCCTTCAGAGGTCAAACAAAGCCAGATATCCTGACGAATCTGCAAAGTTGGAATTTTCCGTTAGCCCCCTATGTGAAGGTGGCATACTCACTGGTTATGTTCACTTCGTACCCTGTGATGGCCTTCAGCTGTGTTGCTTCCATCTACCGATTGTTCTGGGAGTTCTGGTCGTTCTTCCAGCCCGAGGATGAAGTCTACGCCCGCTTCGAGGCCAGCAGCCCCTCTGCCGCCTTTGACGAGGAGACCTCACCCAAGGTCTTTTCCACCCCGTACCAATGGCCCCAGGAGTCGAACCTCCGGGAGGCTTCGGACTTCCAACCCAAGGCTCATCGGAGTCCGCCCCCCGAGCCCAGCGCCGTCGTGCGCCAGACTCTAGTGATTGCCATCGTCGTGAGCACGGTCTCTGTCGGAATCATCTTGCCAGACCTCTCGGTTGTCTTCGGTCTCACGGGAGGCTTCTGCGGAGGCTTGGTCAGCTACTGCTATCCTGGGGCCTTCTACGTGCGTGTGGCGAGCAAGAAGAGCGAGCGCCTGCCATGCGGGGCCTGGTTGGGTCACATTCTGCTCTATTTCGGGCTGCTAGCCGGCGTTTTCGCCTCCGGTGTAGTTGCATGGCAAGCAAGCTCCTCTTAGGAGCACGCTGGTCACAAAAAAGGTGGATCCTTCGGATTCATTGGAACCGTATCGTCATCAGCAGAGATTTCTGCAGACAAATGCTCAACCAACTGCTGTGGCCTTGGAGGTGGCTCAGTCACGACTCCGAAAACTGGAGCAACAGACCGGGCAGCAGACTCAGCGCGGCCCTCCGATGTGCATAGGCCGTAGACTCGCCGCATCCTGAAGGTCTCAAATCGAGGTTCACGTGTTGGGAGGCCGAACATCTGGAGCGTGGTCCTCAGAAGCAAACGTCTTTCGCGAGAACCAGGCAGGCTCTTTTATGCTCGCTAAGGTGCACCAGATGACTATTGCCGGTACAAGGCCGGTGTCACCAGTTTCAGGAACTGCGCGGCAGAACGATATCCGACCTAGGTCTGGGAATGCCTTGGCCATCCTGCACCTGCAGGAGGGAGCCTTTGATGTGAAGAACTGCTTTAGCGGCTTTAGCATTGTGTCAGTGTCAGGTGCATTTGTGCTTCAGCTCGGTGCGATGTGCTCCGTCGCAGGAGATGTTTGCGGAGCACCTAAAGCCGGGCGGAAGCGCTGCTGCCCGCATGGTCTGGAACCTGGAACCCTGCCAGCCAACCCTGGGCTGTCTGTCCTCGGCAGAGCATCCCGTGTAGCAGACTGCATCATGCGTCCTAGCCCCTGAGGCTCGCGAGCGAGCCGAGCGTGCCGAGAGGGGCGAACGCCTGGAGCCCGCAGAGCCCAAGCCACTGCCGAATCAAAAGTTGGCGCCGAAGTCGGTGCCGAAGCCCGCTTCAAAGCCAGCGGCAAAGCCAAAACCGAAGCTGCGGCCAGCTTCCGTGGGGCGCCCTCAGGCCTGCGACAGGGCTGCAGGCACTTCTAAGATGAATAAGGTAGGAGATGCATTCGTGCAGAGGTACAAGGTAATTACGACATACTGCGACAGTGACCATCAGAGGTCTTTCGTTGAACCAAAGAACATCGCAAGATGTTTGCTCGTAAAGTGACTGTTTCGTTGCTTGTCTATCGAAGTTGTTTCCGATGCCGTTTCTGCTAGAAGGCCCCTGCTTCAAGGAAGGGGGTCGCACAATTTCAAACCCCGCCCGAAGCACCTTGCAAATTGGCTAGCGAAAACTGCTAGAGACCTCCAGGCTAACAGGGACTGTCTGCGAAATGCTACGAACAGCTAATGAATGCTGCGCTGGGTGGGACTCAGATGTGTCAGCTAATGTACCGTCAATAATTTAACGAAGTTTTGTGTCAATGTTGTGCATCCACCATGTGTCCCTGCCTTTGAAGGGTGGGCCCTTGGACCAGCATAATGGACCAGTAACAAGATTTCTTCCGGGTGAAACTACAAGCACGGCACTGATCTTAATCATAGCTAGGAAAACAGTGGCATCAATTGGAAGGTGATTCGTCAAAATAAAGTAGTAAAGACATGTACAGACGTCAACATGCATGGTGGAGAAATAGAAAAGTTGAGAAGTCTCAGCGTTGTTATCATGGTCGTTGTCATTGTCATCATCGTCACTATGCCAGCATCATCATTACAACCATTTCTAGGAGTTAGAGTTGCAGGAGAAGGAGGAAGAGTCGTAGGACGTCGTAGGAGTAGCTCGAAGTCCAAGTGAAACAGGTGCCGGCTCGGGAGCCTCGAGACGGTCCGCGAATCTTTCGGAGTGCAAGCGTCGGACGAAGTGCGGGCTCCGGGGCTCGGAATTGTCAGAGACCGCACATACAAACCCACACACTTACATGCAACATGTCTAGGTATATTTAGATATGGGTAATATATATATATATGTATATGTATATGTATATGTATATGCATGTATGCATGTACGTGTGTGTGTGTATGTATGTATGTATGTATGTATGTATGTATGTATGTATGTACGTACGTATGTATGTGTGTATACATATGTTTGTACACACACACACACTTACACGTACAGTACCCAATACATGCATGCGTGCATACATACATACGTATACAACATATAGTTATATACCTGGACACGCATGCATGTGACAACAGTTGTTAAGTGTCAGTCTTGAGGACCACGGCAACTTTTGTTGGATGATGTTGTTGTTGACGGTAAGGACAACAAGCTGCAAAAGGGAAGGGAAAAACCAGAGTGGGCAAAGGCCAGATGGGTGCATGCCTAGTGTCGTGGGAAGAGAAAGCATCTCTGCGACCTGACAGGTTCTGCAGTTGTTCGTCGGCAGTGAGCAGCCTGTTGTTCACGCAATGCTTTCAATTGAGGGCGAAAATGCTAAGTGCAGTCTGCTGTGGCCTGTCCTACAAACGGTGGTCTAAGCGAATTATTGAAGGCTGCCGGTTGACTTATGCTGCCTCTTTGACAAACACCGGATCTAAGTGAGCACTTGACGGTTGTGCTCGTCTGCCGACCACTGTTCTTGCTGGTTGTGTTGCAGGGCAAGGGAGCCCTTGCGCTGCTACGACCGTAGCCACCCAAGAGAAGAAGAAGGAGTTCAGAGATGAGACTGAGCAGCCATGCCTGCTTGTCTTGGCTCAGCTTCTAGGGACGGGTCCGTGGAACTCGGGCCATTAGCCCACGGCGGCTCGGATTGATTTCGGGAGTGAAAGAGGGTGCAGCGAAAGATCTGGTGCGCGACGGAAATCTGAGGTGAGCTCCACAGACAGACGGCAGGGAACGGAGGCTTATATATCCATCGCAGAATCGGGACAGCAATGCCAATTACCTGCTGCATTGTCGTATGAACAGTTCTTTTGGTTTCGGACCAGAGCCCACCGTGCGGCCACATTTGCTTGGACACACGCTGTGACGTCAAAGGTTCCTCGCAGTGGCCTTAGCTGAAGTACCCAGTCGGTATGGTAAGCTGGAGTTCTGCGCCGTCGCCTTTGCCCAAGCCCAAGGCGAGTGTGCCGACCCCACGCATCCGCCGACTGACCTCGCGCCTCTCAGAGGCCTTCGAATTTGATGCACGGAGCCCGGCCGGATTAGCCTGGTAATCCGATGTAATCCGTTAGCCGACGAGACGATGAGTGAGGCCTGTCTCCTTACCGGATGACGCCGACGTGGGCTGCTCAGCTGTCGCGTGCGAACCTGCCATCCCAACAGCTGACTGTGCCGCCGTACCGTCGCAAGGATCTCAGATCTCCATTTTCAGGCATCGCGCCAGTTCTCTTGAACGCCAGCCTGGCCTGTCCGTAGAATATGCAAGCACCAGAGAGTGCAGCCTCAAGCAAAGAAGATGGCAGCCAGGAGAAATTTGTCGTTCACTCATATGATGGCGGCTCGCAGCAAAGCCGTGCCTGGCCAGCACAACCTTCCTTTCCAGCATCTTGCAGCAGCCCGTAGTAGCAAAGAAATCATCGAGAGATACGTGCACAGCTCACTCAGGCAGTCAATATGATGTCAAGCATGCCGCTTGAATGAAACTCATCTTGGTGCGAAAGACATGCTGTGAGAGTTCACGGTTCTCCAAAGGTGTTGATACCGACCTTGGAGCCCTTCCACTGCTCAGACAGGCCGTTACGGAAGATCCCGAGCTGCCTTTCGGAAGTCATGTGCTGTGTGCAGGGGTTGCAAGTTCAACCTCGTTCTGAAATGTTCAGAGGACCGCCTGCATCGAATCGCAGGCGTAGCGGTCTGGCATGGTCTGGCTGTGCCGCCCTGCAGGACTTCACCCTGACCCACTTCTACATCAGTGGACCTGGGCCCAGATGCACGGAACCAATCAGGCGGGAGCTGCAGTCGAGAGCAGGCGTAGGATGCGTAGGCAGAGGCCCTCGGCGTCAAAGTGTTCAAAACGTGGACTCGTCGACTAGACACGACAAACATGGTGTCATAGAGACCCTGTGTCCCACCCTGCGACCCATCCCAAAGCTCGGCCACACGGACCTCTGCGTGAAGAGAGGGAGCCTGGCAGGAGCGGGCTGGTCTGGGTCTGCAGTGACTTGCCGAAGGCTGGATGTAGCCCATCTTCCAGCCAGGCCAAGAAACAGAAGCTTCAGCTCTTCATGTGGCTGAGGATTTGGAAATCACAGACGTATACGACGATTTGAGACCAGATGAGCTGGAAAGCCACCAACCGATGGATGAGGACAGGTCCGGTATGCCTCACATATGTCGCACAGAGGCAGAGGCGAGCGTTGCTGCCTTGCTCGTTTCGGACACTCTCCCAAAGAGTTTGCCATTGCTCTTCACTGAAGGACCGAGGTGGCAGTTGTACAAATGAGTCGTCATCGACTTGGGACCCCCATCCGCTAACAGCTCGGGTGGTTTCCGTGCTTCGCAGCTTCGCCGCTGGACCTTCCCCGACTTCTGTAATAGGTACATCTGTAGAAATGTATCTACGTATGTATGTCTACGTGTGTACCTATGTTACGTCTGGTTTGTGTATCTGTTTATCTTATCTAAGAAATGTTTCCCCCTCTCCCTCTCTCTCTCTGTCACTCGTACACGATATTAGCTCTCCTAAGACTCTGAGGCCCATCCTTCGCTTCCAGACGGACGTGGAGTCCCGCGAGGCGGAAGTGGAACTGCAGAGGCCCACCGGAAAACCGCTGCCAGAAGTTACGCGCGGTTAGGGTTTCGGGGTTTGGAGGTCTGTGTTTCAGGGTTTTTGGGTTTGGGGATTTGGGGTTTGAGGATTTCTAAAGGCCCTTGTTGGCAGGGCTTTGATCTGTGGATCCCGATGGTAGTCCTCACTAGGGGAGGGGTGTATTCGTCGCGGGTCTAAGAGCCAACGCCCGGCTGTTGCCGGGCCCGAATCCGTACAACCTCAGACAGAACCACAAAGCCCTAATCCCCAAATCCCAAGGCCCCAGAACGCCAAAAACCCAAGGCCCCAAAACGCCAAACCTCAAGAAAGCTGGCAAGAGGGCTAAACCCTAAACCACCAAACCCCAAGAAGGTGGCAAGAAGGCCGTTATGTGATCGTTCGCTTCCTGGACACTCACTTCGCCGAGGAGCAGGTCGGTTGCCCTTCGGAAGGGAGAGCTACCCAGAGACTCCAATATCCCTTAAGTAAGGAATATAGCTTAAATCATATTAAGGATTCTACTATAATTTAAGGAATATTCCTTAATTAAGGAATATTGGAGTACGGTTTGGGGGTTTAGGGGATAGAGCTACGAGGGGTGACAGCTTCGGGGTTAAATTCGGGTTTGGGGTTGAGAGATCAGGGCTTATGGTGTGTCAATTCGTCAGGGTAGTTTGCAACATCCCCTCGTGAGAGCGGTGCCGTCATCGTCCGCATGGGACAGTTCGGCTGGAAGATTGAGTTCGGAATTGAAAACTTGTTGTCGGATAGAGGGTGACGGATGTAATGAGGCGATCTTGGTCAGGTCGCTTCAGGCCAAACCAAGGAATCCCCTACACAAACCTCTGTAGCAGTCGCAAGGCTTGAGAGGATGAAGGAGTCCAGGTCATCCCGTGCTGCACTGGGTCTTAGCAAGTGCTCTCGGGAGGTCAATGTGGATGTGGGCATGATCGGCCTCGTCGGCCACTTCGGGCGCTGTGGTCGGCACCAGGCAGGCAGTCCTCTACATCGCTCAAGAGCTGCCCTGTGAGGACAGTTCTTCGCGGCCGGTGTAGGGCACAGCAGGGCTGGCAACTGACTTGAGTTTCGATGTCCCGATCGCAGTGGCTCTCAGTGCTGCTCGCCTGCTTGCAGCCTAACTCTTAAACTGCTGCAGAAGCCCCCAACAAGCAAAAGTCCTGGTTGGGGTTTGGGTGACCCTGCAAGGTGCCAGTCGGGCCCTGGATGCGACGGCGGGTGCAGCAGGCCCACACCCAGCGACCCCAAATTGAAGTTAATTTCCAGTTCGGGGTATGAGTCTTTAAGCTTCATAAAGCTTGTACACAAGGGTTTTAAGAGAGTTGTTCTAAGTTTCAGGTCCCTTTCTGGGCCCCGTCTCAGCGACACGTTACATGCTATGGATAAAGACATCATAAAACTGAGTAACAGGCAAGTGTTCTTCGATCCCAGCTGCAGCCCGGAGAAAACACTCTGATTGCCTCTGTCGTCATCTTCACCCACGCGCGGATTTACGAAACAGGCTACACACGCAATCTGAAGCTGTTGAGATGGTAGTGAATCGTGTGGCCATCGCCTGGTGCCACACGCTGTCGCGGGCAGAAGTTGTTGTGAGCAACACCTCATATGACTCGTATGACCAGCAGGATGCAGATTACGGATGATGCAGGATTCTGAGCTCCAAAGCATGACAACTCTTGAACACCCCTGAACCCTAGGCCCTAAGCCCTTGCAGAACCCTTTTGGTGCCCATACCTCATGAAGGCATGGAACCCCTGTAGTGCCCATTAGTGTCCTAAACCTGTACGCCTTAACAGCCCTTGCCTCAGAATCCTAAACCGTTAAACCCCCTAAACCCTAAACCGTCAGGCCTGGGTCCATGCCCGCCCGTTGCAGCGGACGTTCTCCTCTGGCGGCTGGGCCATTGCCTCGAGCCTGCTGCGGTCTCCAGATAAGCTGTTCCAACTGGACATCATACTGTGGTATGTTTCTATTGAAAGCAGGGTATGGGTTTTCATAGTCATAAAGGCTATAAGGTATGTTGTACTGCATCGTGTCATTTCGTAACATTGTAGACAGTATACTACTTGATATAGGATCCGAAATCCTTCTCTGCCGGATTGGGGAGCAACACAGAGCAAGACATTTGCATGTGACACGCACGGGCCTTGAGGTTTGTGACGGCCGGGACTTCACGGGCGGATGCCGTGCCAGTCTGACGGCGAGCCCGGCCGGTATCTGTTGCCAGAACGATTGACACAGATTGGGTGAAGCACATCTGTGCCAGTCCAGGGAAGAACTAGGCAGGCTGTCATTTGTGCACTGGGACATGGAGCCATGGAGCATCAGCAGCACAGGGTACAAGCACGGAGGAGAGGAGGCAGGCTCGTAGACATCAGGTTCAGCCCAGAGAGGTAGGAACCATGTAGCTCAGTGCAAACGACGGATCTTGCCTGCTTCCATCGTACGATGCAGCCCCACATCCCCTGAAAGGTGGTTGGCTACGGCTAAAGCAAAGTTGATGCATCTCTGCCCTGCTGTGTGAATAAGCCAGTGCCCTGCCAGGATTTTCACCAGACGACCATGTACAACTCGCGCTTTCACTGCTCCGTCACAGGCTTCGACCTTTGCGAGGCATGTGCCCACGACGCCTGGCTCAAGCGAGTTGTTGGGTTGCTGTCGATTCTGCATGGAATCCTCTCGGTTTGTGCGCTGAGGGTCTGAATTGTCAGCACCTTTTCCCGGGCTTGAGATCCTAGGACCTAGGAACTCCCGAAAAGCCACCAGCCGAGGACACTTCCCTGGGCAAGGTAACAGATGCCTCGGTCCAGGCCACTGGGGTTGCTTCCAGGGATGTCTCAGGAGCCTCAGCATCCCAGGGGATCCGATCTTTCAGCGAGGTGAGACAACAGCCGTGTCAGCAACGAATCAGCCACATGCTGTTGAAGCATCTCCGTGTTCAAAGTCACGTTCACAGGTGCCTAAGTGTAACCAAGTCTTATTGGCAGCGCTACTCCAGCCCAGGTGGGCAGCATTTGAGCGTTTTTGGCTGGCCAGGCAGACATTGAGGCTTTGCAAAGCGCTTCTACCTGCAAGCCGACGCCACAGAGCTTCACTTTGCAAACAGCGTGGATCTGGAACGGTTGCACTAAAACCCTAAACCCCAAAGGGTCCAAGTACCATTATAGTAGGTATTTGGGCCCCAAAAGTACAAAACTATACTAGTACTTGGACCCTTTGGGAACCCTAAACCCAACCCCAGAAAGCAGCAGCTGGAGGCTGGTTGGAACTCGCCTTCGGAATCTTTGGAAGCGGAACTGGCTGCATGCCATTCCGAGGCCGGGCCGGGCTTGTGGAACAGCTGCGCTAGATATTATGATATATGCGGTGTAGTATGATGACGTAATACCATGATGTATTATGCATAACAGCACTCACCGTTAATATATATATATATATATACATGTGCTGATTTACTGTATTTATGCAACCTCACACACACACACGCACACGCACACGCACACGCACATGGATATGTGTAGATGTAGCAAGGCACATGTATACGAATGCACATACGGGTTCTCATCCGCACAGATGTCCTGCCTCGCGCCTCGTAGGTATTTTCGACATGGACTGCTGCAACGCGTGATGGCTTCTCTGCCTGGAGCTTGTTTTCTCAGGGTGATCTAGTCATAAAATATAGCACTATGTCATATCAGTAGTATGACGTCGTAGTATATCATCATATACCCCGATGCATCACAGTATGTCATAATATGTAATATTCCATAACATAGCAATATACCATACTAAGCAAATGCAACATTCTGTCGTAATATACCATATAGTAGGTACTACAACATGAGAATATGTACTATTACATGCAAGTGTATAGCAATGAAAATATGATACAATATCCAATACCATGGCTGGTCTACTGGCTGAGGCAGAGCTGCCTCGATCACCTCACGCAGTCCGGAAGAGCCCGGGCCATCCTCGAAGAGGAGGCGAGCTTCGGATGTGTACCCGGATGTGACATGACGGCCAGGGTTTAGCATGATGAAGCTATGTCTCGGGAAGCTCTCCAGGCCAGTGGGCGAGGCCGCGGGAGGCTAGCAAGCACGGGCACGGTGTCCTCTCCTGAGATCCGCAGAGAAGCAGCGCAGAAAACGAGGCAAGGAGCCACAAGCCAAGATCGAGGTTACATCCAGATCCGCAGCAGAGCGCAGCACTTCGTGCAAGCAGCCGAGTGCCACTTCTTCGTCAGCCCGTGTTGTCTTGATTGTTGCCTGCTGTTCCATTCCTCTTGTTCGATGCATGTTCGTCGATCGTCAGAAGTCTTCACTCCTTGAACGAGGCCTTGCTGCAGCTCGTTTCCGACCTTGTGCACAGCATCCTAGTCGGCGTGCGGCCTGGGTGCGACATCCAGGCACGGCCGAGGATTGGCAGCGAGGTTTTTTCTTTCTGCGCCAGCTTTGGGATCGCAGGTCAATGATCTGGTCGGCCCCTCAAACTCAAGCCACAAAGAAGCAGTCAAAAACCGTTCTGCGAGGCTTGGGCACCAGTCGCCGGAGCCCCAAATTTCTGGGCTCTGGCTCCTAAGCCACTGTGCGTGCGCCAGGTCTCTGACGTTCATGGTCCGCCATGCCGCTGGGAAAGGCCCCGGCCCCAGCGAGGGATGCAGAGATATGTCGATGATGAAGATGGCAAGGACGAATCCCACAGCAGGAACTGCCGCAATTGCTCGAAACAGGATTAGGGACAAGCGCATCAAAGCCAGCATCAACAGAAACGACAAGTTGAATCATAACAATCAAAGGATGAGACAAACAACAGCAACAAGGACAGCGACAACAGACAACGATAGGATGACCAGTATGAGAAGCAGCAGCAGCCGCAACGGTGACCGTAGCGGCGGTGAGGGGTACAGGTGGTCTTAGTGGTAGTGATAGTCGTAGTCCCAGGAGTAGTAGTAGTAGTAGTAGTAGTAGTAGTAGTAGTACTTAGTAGTAGTACTTAGTAGTAGTACTTAGTAGTAGTAGTAGTAGTAGTAGTAGTAGTAGTAGTAGTAGCAGTCGTAGGCGTAGTCGTAGTCGTAGTCGTAGTCGTAGTCGTAGTCGTAGTCGTAGTCGTAGTCGTAGTAGTAGTAATCGTAGTAGTAGCAGCGGCAGCAGTCGCAGCAGTAGCATCAGTAGTAATCGTCGT